CCACGTCGACCTTCTATGCGGAGCGTACGTTTGGCCGAGAAACCGAGCGCTGGCTATTCGAAGAATAAGATGCTTCCCGTGTATCCAGCCACATGCCCTGGGCTGACAACACCAAACCCAACAGTGTATGTGTGTGTGCGCAGCTTGTAGATACGGGTCCGGCCACAGTTGAAAGGCAGACTCCTCGACAATGCTATGGGGCCTTGCCGCCCTGCTCAAGTGCAACGTAGCACACGGCCTTTTGTCTTGCAAGAGCCCAAACCCTGCAGGTCAGTCCAGTGTCAAAGGTCAGACGTGTCAAAAGACATGCATGCGAAACCTCAAGAGGAACATGACACCGCTCCGTCTGACAACAGTCTTCTGTCCACTGTTGAGTCAACAGGCGGCACAAGCGTGTTTGAAGGAGTGACAGAGGAGTCTTAACTCCCTGCATCTTCGGAGCAACAAATAGAAAACTAGAATCATTCAGCAATCCTCGTAGTCTGTTTCGCTTGCTTGTGGTTGTCGGACTTAGACAGACCCCTTCGTTAATGATGCAAGTTCTGCTCGAGACTTCGCTGTGGCCAAGACGCACAGTTCTCGCAGTACCACCAAGACCTGGAAACGCACAAAATGCCATGGAACTGAGGGCAGCAGGGGACACGAAAGGAAACGGTGCCTCACGTTGTTGCCAAGGTTGGAAAGCACGAAGCTTGGCTTGTCGAGCTTCTCCTTCGAGCCAGACAGCACAGAAGTGAACCGTGATGAAAAACAAAACCTGCCAACTACCGCACCACTTGCAAGGGTCTAGTTCAACTTTCAAGATCCTCCTAGGCATTTGGGGCGCCGGTCCTGCTGGGTCAACATGATGCGGCGCTCGATCACCTTTGCAGGGGGCTGACATCGCTTGAAAATGCAGAAAAGATACCGCACGGTACCTCACTAGACACTCTCAGGACAAAACACCCAGGGACACCAAGGCCTCCGCGCGCTCTGCTATACATGACTGTTGGTTCACAGCCTGCCAACCCCAGCAAGCGTTTTGCCTGCAGCTGATCTTCCCGATCGATGATTGTGGCTTCGTCGCCTGCAGGCGATTGTCAACACAACTATTGAAGGTGACATGAAGTCGAGCTCAAGCGACGAGGCGCATTCTGCAGTTATTCCGACCCCAAACATAGACAACGGTCTGCTAGGGTAGGAAAGGAGAAGAAGGGAAGGGAAACCACAACAGAGGAACCCTGCCCTGAACGTAAAGGCACAGCTCAACAGCGCCTTTTTCATCTTGAGCCAAATTCAATTGGTATGATTCATGATGTCACAGAAATTACATAGTCAGGCATCACTACTTTACATGGAGGTTGTTCGTAAATCTTCAACTCCCCCCTCCTGACTTGGAAAATCTGTACACATTAGCATTTGTAGAAGCTTGATACACTACAATGCACGTGGATCCACTGAATTAAGGAACTGAGGGAAACAACCTGCCGTTGATTTCTTGACCGATGTGACATGACACGGTCATTGACGGTTGATTCCACGACCAGCCTGATGTGGCGCAAGGAGCAGCCAAACAACCAGGTGGTCTTGACGAGTGAAGCTTAGCTTCGAGGGCATAAAGTGCTCAGCATCATAACCCGATTTAACATCCAATCCAACCCAAGCTTAGCTATATGAGGGTAGAATGGAAGTTGACATTGTCAACAGTTGGAGCGCATGAGACCATTTCTGGACTGCCAACGCTTTGGTGAGAGGGTCACCTCTCTGCTCACTCGTGTGGCAATACTCCAGGATGACATTGGAGTTGTCATTGACATATTCACAAGTCGATGACACGTTCACACGGTGGGTTTTGCCTAAATGGCGGAGTTTGGAACTGAATCCTTTTCTGACGATTGCAATGCAAGCCTGATTATCCTCGTAGATATGCAAGCAGATCCCACGGATGAGGGCCTCCCGGACTTCATGTAAGGGAATTGCATCGTTGTACAGAGCTCCACTTAGTGAAACGAACTCTGCTTCAGTACTTGACCGAGATACGACCTTTTGACGTTTACTCGACCATGATAACAAAGCGAAGCTTCCTGGGCCTTCGATAGCCAACACGTATCCGCTGGTAGACCGGGACGTGTCAATGCAGCCGGCGAAGTCGGAATCACAGTAGAGGGACAACCGCAAATCCGAAGGAAAATCGCTGATGCACAAAATCATTGCGTAATCGACTGAATGAAGAATGTAACCGATCAATCGATGAACCCGACGGTCATCGTTCTTGGACCAGCTGCAGACGTGCGAAGCAAGCGTTGTGACTGCCACAATCAAGTCGGGCCGACTTAACCTTGCAAGCCATAACACCTTCATTAAGATTTTCGCGGCGACTTCGGTAAGTTGCCCGCGGCAATCGTCGTCTGCTGCAGGTAATGTGCTAATGTCGAGATGAGGAGTAAGCTGAGGTTTAACCTTAAGCGAACATACAGTCTCGTACAATTGAACACACTGTTTTGCGAAATCTGCTGATTCAAGTGCGAGTGCTTTCTTTTCTTGCCAGCACACGAATCTGTGGCTTCTTCTAAGTACCCTTGACAGGGCTGCATACGGCTCGAGCTCGACCTCCTTGGAGAGGGAGCGCCAGAAGTCGTCATGCAGGGACCGACGTCCAGACAAAGTCAAGTCGTCTACGTAGACGCATAAGACTAATCCTAGGGACTTGAAGTAGTAAACCGAAGGGAGGTTTGGAAATTCAACCCCGCCTAGCTTAACCAGAATCTCATGGAGATGCTGCTGCCAATAGGCGGAACTTTCGGGGTGCCCATACAACGCTTTGTGAAGGGGCGCGCATGGTTGGAAGATATGCTTCTTGTCAGGTGGGACTAGCTCCGGAGGTAGGAGGACGTACGTGCGGTGCTTCGTCTTGAGCTTGGCTTGAGTGTAAGCTCGAACTGCGTCGCTGGTCGTCACACCGTGGGACTCCAGCAGGCCGAAGGCCACCGCTGTGTTCAATCCTTCCAGAGAGGATGGAGATGATGCGAACAGCTCTTCAAATACAGCAGACATGCCGGATTGGTCCCTGATATCATCACCCCTGAAGACTATTCTTGCTTTGAGACGCCACTGATCTGGACTCAGCTCAGATCCTTTTACGGATAAAATGACCATCAAATTTCCGAAGTGGATCACATTAGAAGTCCTAGTAGCCCATGCAAGAACATCCTTTTTGGACACTATCTCATCTTCAAGCCACGTCCCAACATCAACAAGGCCATCTTTCTCTTTCTTTATTGCCTCGTAGGCTCCTGGTTGCCCCGACCATTCTTTTCTATCGAGAAGGCGGTGAACTAAACCCGGAAGCTTAACCTCTTTCATCCCAGACTCATTCATAAGAACATCAAGAGGAACTTTGGGTTTAGAATCCTTTTCACGATGGAGCTGTGGCAAGGAAGGAACACACGGGAGCGCTGGCGTCTGGAACGCCTCGGCAAAAGGGAACAGAGACATGAGCAGCACTTTGTGGAATGCCTCAGGATAGAAGGCTACCCGTGGCCAAAGCGTACTCGATGAGCAATGCTTGACATTTGAAGCGTGAGTGCATTTGAAAGGTTTGAAGTTCTCGACTAGTCGTTTGCTCGAAGACATGATTTGCCATGGAGCGTCAAACGGAGCTCCTGATGTCGAAACCATACCTAGAGCACAGCCCTTGAACGAAACTCTGCGAAGGCTGAACTGATCCTCGAAGGCTTGAACTTCGGGAAGCAACCAACACGTGGAGTCTTGTGGCCATTCGAGAGAGACTTCGCCACCATTGGAAACGATGACTGAAGCAACCTGAAGAAAACCCAGAAAAGTCCTCTGAGCCTTCCAGTGAACGTACCCAGAGTATCTAGCTCCCCATCCGTCACCTAAGAGAGAACCGACCAGACAACATCCCGGAACAGCAGACACTTGGCTGATGAGCTGATCGATGACAACCGGGTCAGACAGATCAACACGGTCACATGATATCGAGATCACCTGAACGCCTGATCCTTTGGCAATGCCGGCAAGATTGGACCGCGAATGGGACACGATCTCAAACAACACAAGAGCACCAGGCTTTTGATGTCGGAACACCACAGGCAAAGCCAGGGGATCGCCAAGTCCAGTTTCAGACGGTTCATAATCGGAGAGATGATCTCCATCGGGACGGGAAGGAGGCCTAGGCAACTGAAGCTCTTCATACGACAAGAACTCTTTGGGAACCGGAGTCTCGGGAGCTTTAGCTTCTCGACCGAATGCCTTCTCAAACCTTGCAATACACTCAGCATTGTGATTGCTTTTGTCGTTGTCGCAAGCATAGCACCCAGGTGTGGGGCCTATCTTACGAAACCTAGCATACGTGATGTAAATCCTACGAAGCTTCTTCCTCTCGCCCTGCTCTGTGAAAACATGTGGCATGAAAGGAATCGGAAAAGGTTCTTGTGCAGGCACCTCACTTTCATTAGCAAACGTCAGCAATGCATGCTCTGCAGCGTCGCGAAGGGGAAACACAGGGTCACCGGACCGAACGTAAAGCTCAGCCTCCGGAACACTGATCGGCTCAGTCCAAGCACCAATCTTGGAACGAAGCTTTTCTAAGTCAAGCACAAGGGTCACAGAACGGTAGATGCCACCTGGTTCCAATCGCCATCCTGCGAACACGACGCCTGGAGCAGCGTTTGGGCCGAACTTGCTTTCATGCTTATGTCGGTAAAACACAAGCTGGCCAAGGATCAGCTTTCTGATGCAAACTTCATCCCTGCCTGAATCCTCAATGTTGAAATCCCACCTACAGAGCGACTCATCTTGCGGTGAAGGCAACGTCAGATTCAAGGCGATGGCACCGTAACGACAAGCAACGGACCACAACTCAGGACGGATCGAAAACCCAGCTTCAAGGAACGATGATCTCACGCCTTCTTGGAAGGTCCTAATCGCCCGTTCAAGTTGAGCGTTGTGGGGAAAGCGATTAGGCAAGGATGGCGAAGAGATCCATCCCATTTCTTCCGCCGCGGCTTCGAATTCATCAGCTGCATCAGACACTAAGGTCACAGGCTTTGAGCAAGTTCTACGTCCAACAAACTTTCTCAGGGCAGTCACAACGGCGCTGGTTGAACGATCATTCCCAGGGTATGCTGCAAACAGACCAGTGTACTTGTCCCTCAGGCACAACACAACGTAAGACTTGTCCGGAGCATCGGATTCTCCAAACTCTGAAGCTTCGAACGGATCTGGTTCTTCCTCGGTGTCACGAGGCTTTCTGCGCACACGCCTTGAAAGCATGCGAGCTTGATTACATATATCACAGAAAGGATTCTTCGGGAAGTGGAACAACCTGTGCTCAAGCGACATTGCTTGATCTCTAAGCTTCCGAATCCTCTCGGGAACCTTATCCTCTGCTCCATCATCCTGATCAACTTCACCTACACCTTCCGCAGATGCATCAGCGCCAGGCCCTTCGGGTGGCGCATCAGCAGCCGAACCCTCGGGAGGCTCAGCAGCATATGCTGGCAGGGGCTCTTCACAAGAGTCGATTTGGAAGCCCAGAGCACGGAGCTCTTCACAGTGCGAATCTTTGACTTCTGAAGGATGTTTTGCAGAGAACAAAACCACCACAACGCGATCGCCTTTCCACGGCATCGTGGCATGGATGCAGCTCTTAGCTCGGAATCGAATGACCCCGTTCTTGAAACTAAGAACCTTTCCAAGCTTGTCAGGATCACCAGGACACGGAGTTGTCCCCCCTGATTCTTCAACCCATACGCCTCCTCCTGAGAATCCACCCAAGGAGATGACGGCATTATCAAGATTGGCGTTGTGGAAGTCTTTGCGGGGACCCGTTGTAACGTTGCTGAAAATACAAAGGGTCGTGTATCCAAAGCCAGGAAGCTTCGAACATGCAAACTTGTTGAGAGCTTTGGTAACCAAGGGAAACCGGTGGGCTGAAGTCCTAAGTCCAAGATTTCCGCCCAACCGATAAAGTCCAGTTGAGAACGATTCCCCATGATCACCTCTAGCAGCAGGTTCCTTGTCAACCAGACCAAACAAATTGCGAACCGCACGACAGCTGATGTTGCCGCCAGAGCTCAACATTTGCCGGGCTCGTAGATCAGCAGGATGGTGCTCTGAGCATTGGATGGCGCTTGGGATAGCAGCCGGACCCTCGCCCTCGAGCCCCCCTGAAAGGTCACTTACAGGGTTTGGTGCCCCATGAGTAAACCTCACCTGACTGGTGAAAATCGGAACATGCTCTTCAACGCGAGTTGCATAATGTCTGTACTTCTCAGGGCATTGAACAACGAGTTGCGAAATGTCGCTGACGAAGAAAGGCAAACTACCGGGCAGCCAGATGAAGGCTTTCCCAGAATCAACATCAATCCCTGTGCTTCTGACCAAAGGGCAACTGTCTAACATGTAATGATTTGCAAAATCCATGTTGCCAGACTCGAAACCAAGGGTCTGCACACCAGGTTGGGGACCACCGCCGGTATGAAACGTCACAGGAGACTTAGACGCACCTAAGAACCGGTCAAAGGCGTCACGCGGAATCCCTTGGTCAAACAAAGCTTTGGCCGAACCTAAGGGACGACCAGCAGCAGTGTCAGCGGCCCATTCAACAGCATAGGACGGACCAGCGGAGATAACAGGAGTGCACAAGCTAGAGGCAGCAACAAGCGCGACAACAGCTTTAGCTACTGCTCCAGGTTTGCTCTTGGCTCCATCTTTGGCTTTGGCTTTCGACTTCGGCGGAGCAGCTTTGTGACTGAACTTACAATTATCCCCATGAATGCAACCCGACGGCATCTGGAAGAAAATGCAAGGTGTCTTGGCTTTCTCAGCATCAGTCATGGCCTTCGCCTTAGCCTTAGCTTTTGATTTGGCTTTCGTGTTTGCGTTGGGCGCTGGGGCGCCAGGTGCAATTGGAGGAGGAGGAGGATCTGCTTTGGATGGAGCACCTTTGGGAGGTGCAGCAGGTGGAGTAGCTTTCGGCCTTCCGTTTCCTCCATCTACAGCAGGAACAGCTTTCGTTTTCGGAGCAGGTGTGGCCGACTGCAGAGACTTCAACACAGACTGCGCGTTGGAATCTTCACGATCCTGAACGATCAAATCCTGAATCTTATCCCACAAGTATGACCACTCACGCCTATACGAAGCTGCCCCAGATTCCCCATGCATCAAGACGAGGAAGAAGCTCCGAATCTTGCAAGTCAGCTCTCTCAGCATCAAAACCCCTAGAAACCCAAGCCAGCACAAGACCTTGGCCTGAAGTGTCAAGCTTGGACAACTGAACTTTGAAACCGTTCTTCCAAGTTCTGAAACTTGCCGCATCTGAAGGGACAGGTTCAAGCTTAAGATGCAAGAGAGCCCTTTGATCAACAATGTCCTTTTCCCGAAGCTCTTTGACAGCTTCTTGGTCTTCAACCTCATCATCTTCGTTGGTCTCAGCAGTACCCGTAGCATTTTGACCGACCTGTTGGACTAACTGTTGAACCACCTCAATCAGTTGATCCACGCGAGGGTCTGATACAGGAGACGTAGGTTGAGGAGGAGCAGGACATGATGATACGGGCGGAGGGACAAAGGTACCCGAGTACAGCAAATGCTGAGTGGGAAGGTCGGAAGCTTCAAGGTGAGTCCATGACGCTTCACTAACACCAGACCCAGAACCGACGGGCGGAGTATGTGCTTTTGGTGGCTTAGGAGGAGATCCGGAGGTCGAGGCGCATGGAGCAGCCGACCGAAGCCTCTGAATCTCTCTCTCCTTGATTTGGCACTCTACTCGGACTTGATTTAGCTGAAAATTCAACATATTCATTCAACTCCGCCTTTGCCTCCGCAAGCTGACGTTCAACATATTGACCGTACTCAAACAATTCCCCACATCTAATCTCCGAAAGCCTGAGCTGTTCCCGAAGCTGATCAACAGCAGACCCTGCTTCGCTCAGCACGTCCCTGACTTGGCCTTGTACCTCATTGATAGAAGCCTGGTGTAGCAGCTCCGCCTGAGCGGCGACTCGATTCGCAGCTTCACCAGCAGCAAATTGCTGAGCGGCAAGGACTTGCTGAGGTGTTGCTCCTATGTTGAGCATCTGGTTGTGGACAACAGTAGGAACACCAGAATCATCGAGAGGAACATTGACAGCTGGGTAAGGAGCTGAAGCTTTCCTGGGAGTTCGGGCTAAAGCTCTTCGGTTGGCGGGAGGAGAGCGTTCGCGTTCAACTAAGGCTGAACTACTCTCTGAGCCCCCTGAAGCACAAGAGGAATCCCTCATACCCGGAACCGCAGCTGCCGAAGCACTGGAGATGTCAAGCAAGGAGCTTGGATCAGTTGGGGTTGATTGAGATTGCGACATGATGACGGAAGTGCGCTAGCAGGAAGGCAGGTCAGTGGCGCAATGCGCCGATCAGACCACACAGATATACCCGGTCAGTGGCGCAATGCGCCTAACAGACCAAGATATAGAAACCCTGAAGCCTGAAAGTAACGTTAAACCAAACTGCCGAGGACAAGGTGGTGGCGCAAGGCAGCCTTTCACACCGAGTCCGAATGCACCCGCTGAGCACTTCAGCCTGAGATCCAATTCAAAATGGAAGGTTCCGCCTCGAAAATCGAGGAAAAGGACCGACCAATCGACGGCAGTTCCCGCCGAGGCAATTGGATGTGAAACGCAGCAGCGTTAGCCGATCTGTTCCATTCCTCACAGATCCCGGTGTTATCGTCTATTATCAACAACGATGGCCGTTGGAAGAGGCGTCGACAGATGTCAAGCTTTCCGAGGCGTCCTGTGCGGGATCTTGTGATGATGACTAAATCAGCTTGACGTTGGCCAACAGATTGTATGAAGGTGTTCCGAAGGGTGTCCAAGGCCCAATCCTCGATGCTCCTGGATCCCTCCGAAATGTGGGAGCAAATCACCACCAATGCTCCCGCCTCCTCTGCAGCCCTGTGGACACGCCTAAGAAGACCCTGAACGTCCGAAAGCAACTCCGGTGCTTCGTTCGGATAAGGAATCTTATATTGCTGCTTCCGATGACCAATGCGAGGTGCCCAGTAATACCTGTCGATCACGTTGTGGAAGTCAAACACGACAACCTTGCCCTCAAGCCGCTGGCTATCTTCGACTCTGAAGTTGCACCTGTTAAAAGTGTCTGGTGAGTACAACAAGACGCTCCTCGGCAGGTCAATAATAGCGTCTGAAGTGAGGGCTGACTTTGGCGGCGCCTTGGGAGTCAATGCTGCCTGACTCGCCTTACTCGCCTTCGAAGCAGGGGGCTTCGGAGGGTTCTTAGGGGGAGTCTTCGGAGCAATACTCTTTGGGTCAAGCGGTGAAATCGGCGGAGTCGGAGTAGATACCTTAGGCACTGCCGCAGTCTTCGCTGCGGGAGCACTCCTCACCTTCGGCGTTGGGGCCAACCTTTGTCCAATAACTGAAGCTGTAACAGGAGTCACTGGAGCAGATGCTTTAGCCACCGGAACTGAAGAAGGTGCTTTCGCCGCTGAGCTTGATGAAGACGAAGAGGACGGCCGCACAGGCGGCGCTGGAGGAGCAGGTGGCACACGAATCCTATGATACGCCGGCACTGCCCCTGACGCCTTGGGAATGAGCGGCGTTTCTTCCGCTTCCACTTCAACTTCAACCAATTCTTCCTCAGGTTCGCTGTCCGATTCAAAGATGGGTCGCCAACCCGCTCTTGTGTAAAGCGGTCGCTGACTGCCGTCTTGGTGGCGGATGGGCACGCCGTCTAAGGAAGTGTATCGGAAAGGCTGAAGAGATAACTGGTACTGTTGGTACGCTTTGCGCTTCCGTACCGCGGATTTCCCAGCTCGAATCCCACGTGGCCTCGGGAGAATCTCTGGGCCACGGTCCGGCTCTGGTGCGTCCATGAATCAAGCTACGCTCTGAAGATCTACACCAAACCGAAAGGGAAGAACGAACACTACGGCTGATAACCAGTTATTCCGACCCCAAACATAGACAACGGTCTGCTAGGGTAGGAAAGGAGAAGAAGGGAAGGGAAACCACAACAGAGGAACCCTGCCCTGAACGTAAAGGCACAGCTCAACAGCGCCTTTTTCATCTTGAGCCAAATTCAAACGGTATGATTCATGATGTCACAGAAGTTACATAGTCAGGCATCACTACTTTACATGGAGGTTGTTCGTAAATCTTCAACTTCTGCAAGGCAAAAGCGTGGACCTGCTGACTTCAGGATCAGCCCCTCCGTCGGTAAATCCGGCGGAGCCTGTCGTTAGAAAACTCCGCCCAGGAGACTGGTCCGGCTCCGCTCCGCTCCGCTCAGACAGCTCGGGCCTCGATGCCGATCTCCCGCTGCGTGATCGCGCGCCAGGGCCGCTCCCCGCCCAGCGCGTCCAGGAGCGCGGCTGGCCGCAGTCCGACGGCAGCCTGCCAAGGCTGCGGCTTCCGGCGGAAACCCGGCTTCCTCCTGCTGCCTTCAGCGCAGCATCAACGTGCTGTTCCCCAAACAGCAGCGCTTCTGAAGATTTGCCCGTCCTGCTGCAACACATAGTCAGCAGGCGTCAGATCCCTTGCTGCCAACCAGTCCTTCTCGTCTTTGGGTGTGCCACCCACCCACCGGTGCTCCTGCTTCAAAAAAACGACCGACCAATGCGAAGGGGAACTCGCATTATCCAACACGCAGGTCCTGATGCCTTGAATCTTGAGCAAGAGCTTTGCATCTTTGCGAAAAGTAGGCCATTCCTGACTCTGCAATTTGTCAAATTCTTGCGAATCGCAACAGGAAGGCGCATGGGCCGACAACGACACTGCGCTCGGAGGATCAGAGTGTATCTCGCGCAGAAGCAGCACGAAGAGCGGCTTCAAGTCTACACCTGGGATTGACAACGGCTCTAGGGCCAGCGGGCCCAGCCAGGCCCATGCCACGAACTGCTGCCAAGCAGCTCAATGGAACTCGCTTTTCGACCTCCTGCCCCTGCCGCCGGGTCATCAACCACCTTTGGTTACTGTGATTGTGCTGCGCCGACCGGAGCCCCACAAGAGCAAGTTGCTGGCATTTGATCAACCAACATGACGGTCTGCACCGTGGCAGATGCTCCTGACATCAACCCACACACACACACACACAGACCGAAACCAATTGAATACACCGGCTTCCACACCTGTGGAGTACTTCACGAGCTCGGGAAGTGCTTCTCCGTCAGTCTCGTTCAGAAGGCTCGGAAACTGCTTTACCAGATCCAAGAGAATCTCCTGACGAGCTTTCTTGGATGCCAAAGGAAAGCAGCATGCCAAACCAGGTGTCAAGCGTCTGCAAGGTTTCCGACCTGTGTCTCGCAGGATTCCGCGAAGTGGCTCTGCAGGCGCCCCGTTGTCCACATGCTTTCGATGCCTGGACTTGGACGGCTGACAGCGCCCACGCTTCTATGTTCGATCAAACACTGCCAAGAACTGCATGGGGGGTGCCGCCTTCTCTGCAATGCCTGTTCCCTGAACGAAGCTCCAGCAAGCACGCGTGGTGCTCGAGTTTTGTTGGGCGTCGTCCATCTTAGCCAATCAGTCAAAGCGATGACATATTGCTACGGTGCTTTTGCTGGCCGGCTAAAGGAGGCCATGCGCTAGTGAGGGAGCGACCCTTCCATCGTTCTTGCAAGTCGTGCCTGTCACAAAGTATGCTGAAGTCATCTCGACATGTGCGACTTCCATCTCAAGGCACAAGTTTTGCCAAGATACAGCTTCTGTGCCAACTGCTTGACGGAATTCTGGTCAGCCTGGATACCACAAGAAAAATGCCGCGGCCATGTGCCTGTGAAAATGCCAATCCAAGCTGCCCAATCCGCGCTGCCAACGAGTGTTTCCAGCACTGCCGGCAGCCTGTCAGGCCGAAGGTGCTGCAGGAAACCAATGACACGAAGTCATCATGAACAGGGTCTAGCCTGAGCTTGACCGCCTGCAGATCTCGCCGCATCTGAGCATTTGCATTCCTTGAAACGCTGACACCATCACGAACCTTAAGCTGCAACGCCTAACACCTGTTGCAAGAGCTCCTCAGGATGAGATTTAGCCAGCCGAAAGCATCCAAGAACTTGCCGAATTTGTTCCCTGGCCGACTGGCCGGGTTCGGGGCTGGGCAATGAAAGGGATACTTCTCTGAAACATGCAGGAGCCACGCCTGCTTGCCTTGAATACCCTAACCACTTCTGACTCGTCATCTGCCTGGAGCTTCCAGGGGATGCGCGTGCCGTTCACAACAGCCAACCCACAAATGACAACGAATGCCTTGTAAGCCCACGGCGGCTGCACGTTTGCCCTCTTCAACCACCCTGCAATCTGGAGATACGGTAGCCTCTCACACAAACATACGCAAACGTTGTTCCGCAGGTTTATTCAATCCCGCATGGCGATGACTCTAAGTTTGGCTTGTTCTGCACAAATGCTGCCCGCCTGGGCAATGGTGATGCACGCATTGTCTTCTGCGGGGGGCATGGAAGGCTTTTTGCGGATCGTTCTCTCGGTCGTCGGCGTACTCCCCTCGGATGGAATGGGACGTCACTTCAGACTAACATGGGCCTAACATGACTGCAGAGACAAACATAGAAGATGCACACAGAAGAAGCATGGCACGCCTGACTTCTTTTTTGAAAGTTTAAACTGCGTGGGGATTTGATCTCGATTATGTTGCTGCTCTCCCCACCAGAGCTGTAATGAATATAGGTGTGGCTGGCTTGCACTCTCCACAGACTGGGACCCTGTCTCTCTCACACTTCCACACGTGCAATCCTATGCAGGCAGAACCGGCGGCCGTTCCTTTTGCACTCGCTGCCGGCGGCGGTTCGTCTGTGCACGGGATAGCTCTGATTGCTCAGGATAGAAGACACATATAGCACTTAGCTATGGGCATTGACTTGAGCCAAACGTTGCGTGGGCGGTCACATAGAAAGGTAAGGAGAAGCGATGCGGTGTGCGTAGCACGTCCACAAGCTTACTCCTAGAGTCGAGGGACGCGTAGCGTGCCCCCTTCTCTTGCACTCTACACGGTCTTGCTCACAGCTCTTATAGTGACACCTTAGAACTTGACAAGGCATCGCAGTCCGTTCGCACCCCCCATGAGTTGCGTCTCCGACGCTGCTCACCCGGAAGATGGCACGATAGGACAACAGAAAATGTTCCGCCGCAACGTTGACATTGAAAATCAGAGCTTTGCATCCCAATTAGAAACGTTGTGACACTCATCTACGTCAGTAACGATCCCCTGAAATGGCAAACGAATCAGGCGTCACCGAAGAAAGAAGCATTCGCGATGGCATTCCACGGGCGAAGCTCAGAGGTCACGTACTGAAAGATGATGTGGTTCAAGTATTGTCTCGCCACCATCTTCGCGTTGACGTAGGATCGCGGTCCCATGGCCGGAGGTTCTCCTCTGGATACGGGTCCCTTTGCTTTCCTTTGTCCTTGCCTTTGTTTCGGCCCTTACTGGCAATGTAGTCATGGTAGGTGTTGGTGTTCCAGCCTCCATGCTGCTCATTTCCAGTTCTCTCACGCCCTTTTGAAGGTCCCTTGGCCGAAGAAGCGCTTGCACGTTCCTCCGTAGTGACAGGCGTGTCCATGATGGAAGTACCACCTGGAGGGAGATACTCAGCGGCCGAGATGTGATGTAGGGCTTCAGTACGTTTGGTTGTCGGATTTTGCTGTCTCTCAGCCTTGGATCTGACCAATCTGTCCATGAAATGCGCAGGCATTTGCACATTGTGGTCCACCAGCAATCCAATGGTCTGGACTGAATGATCGGCATGAGTCAGCAGGATACCGACGGGGTCGATGTACAGGAAGTCCACCGGTCCAGTTGGCGTTGGTCGTAGCACTGAGAATTGTTGGTGTCCTGTCACCATCGGAATCACCTCGCACAGGACGTTCAGGCAACAGAAGTGCATAGCCTTCACATCTTCATCCCTGTTGCTCTTCAAGTACGTAGTAGGGTTGAAGTTGTCCCTGCCAATTCCCATCATGTTGGCTCCCCGTGTAAGCAACGAAAGCATCTGATTCGTCCGGAAGCGCTTCAAAGTGTAAGTCCCGTTGGGATCGTACTGCTTGAGGTTCTCAGGCTCCTTGGCAAAGCGAATGATCTCCTCGTCAGTCACATCCCTGCTCACACCCGTTTCTCTGTCCACTCCAGCCAAAGATCCCCACTTTCCGAGCACATCATAGCGTTGGCCAAGTGCGAAATTCTCCCTCATCTGGAACAACGGCATAGTCGCCCACTTCGCGAATCCTGACCAAGCCTTGTAGATGGTTCTGCACACCACGAATGCCATATACGAAAGAGCGGCCATGTTGGCGTCAATGCAATGGGCATTTCGCTTTCCTGGGTAGTAGGATGGCTGCATGGCGGTACGTGCGAGTTGTAGTTCAGGATCGATGTTCAAAGACTGGCCGGCGATGAGGACGGGACGTCGTTCCTGTGCAACTGCATCTGGTACTGCGTCATCAAAGTCCTCTCCTGGCTCTGTGTCCATTTCTTCATCAGGTTCCTGTTCTGGATCGTCCTCCGCGACGACAGATGGCTCTGGGATTTCCTCAGGTTCCGCAACGGTCTCTGTCTCCATGGCTTCCTGCTCCTCGACGGTCGCCTCAGGCACTGCTGCTGCCGCAGCTTCCATTGTCTGAGCAATGAAGTCACTGGGGATCTCCGTAGGAGTCTCCCGTTGTGGAGAACCTTGGTAGTATCCGCAAGAAACGAATTGTGACCAGCAGGACGTGCATCGGGAGAAGCATGCTGGAACGATGTTGTAGCATGCCGGGCACACCCTCATTCTCCTTCCATCCTCGTCTCTGCGTAGGTCTTCGGGTCGCCAATTCTTGATGACAAACTTGATCCCTTTGTCCATGTAGTGATGCCGAACCGTGTTCTCCCTGTGGGACTCCAGGACAGTCGTAAGGTCTCGCATGATCTGCTCCTTGCTGGTGTCGTGGGGTCCAGGGGGCATCTCGCAAAGCAATTCCATGATCTTGCTTGGTGTTCGGTATCTCTCGAATTTAGGGAGCAAAGGTGATGCATAGTAGTCCAACACCATCTCTTTCTCCAATCGTTCATCGTAGATCTTTTCCACCAGAGCGAAAGAGTGTGTATCTTGAGGATTCGGGACGCAAAACCATACCTCCTTGACGAACTGGAACGGTACCGTTCGGCCAACGATGATGATGCCGCTGTCTGTGATACGTCCATCTTCTCGTGCAAGGTCCTGCGAAGGGACATGGAGGACCGCCAGCGGCATGTGCTTGGCTTGTGGTCCATGTACCCGCATCTTGGTCGTCGCATTCCGGTGATCGAACGGTGCGAATACCCCCCAATAGCTGTGGAGTCTGCCGCCTTGGTTGCCTCGAAATTGGCGCCTATGGTCGAAGTCCCCGTCGGGGTCCTCCGAACCAGGCATGATGCCTTGCGTGACAATGGAATCCAGGTTGCGGCATGCCGTAGCGTGGAACGCGCCTCCAAGACGTTGCAAGAGGGTCATGGATGGAGATATTGCGAACCTGTTCTTGTCCAACTGAAGCAAATTGTTCTGGGGATCGGAGTGCGCAGAGTGACCACTCGTAGCCCGAACTGCCCATGGCTTCACCCAGCCGTTGCAAACGTTCAGGTACCTCTGGCTGTGCCGGCAACGATCATTGTTCTGGATCTCTGTGATCTGGTCAGGAATCGATACCAACATGTTCGAGCCTGCGGATCCAAGAGTCTCCGTGCCGGGGTCCTTCACTCTCACTCCCAGGAACTGCAGCCGAATCTTGGCCTTGTGGCGTCTCGTGGCTGCGAGCATGTTCCCTTGGAACAATAGCTGGAGTCTTTCATTGTACACTCTCTTCCTCTGTTGATCATCGGTCCTTGAGACCGCTTCGGTGATGCGTCTGCTGTCATGGGTCCATAGTTGCTCATGCCTCACCAAATCCTCGATCAGCACCCACCCTCCTTCATCACATCGAATGACGCTGCTGAATGCCACTTGGCACCTGTTGTCAAGCCATTCCGAGCCTGGGCGCCTGGCGATTCTGTGACGCAGGTCAGATTGAATGCATGATAGCGCCCAATCCGCGTTCCTTCTTCGATGATGGGTGATGTTGCGAAGGACAACTTCGTTCACGAGGTCCCATCGATTGTGGATGAAGCTTGCACCCTTGGTTGGGATCAGGTCGAGAATCCCGCATCGGATTGGCCTTCCGCCGCCGATGGATTCGTAGCCTGCATTGGTGTAGCCCTGAATAGTATCATCATATTCAAAGCTAGGACGGTCTCCTCGTTGAGGTAGGCGTCGGTCGCGATGGTCCGAAAGCTGCTCAATGAGGTCCACCACCCGCTGACTGTTCTCTGGTCCCATGTCCTGCAGCGGCACACCACAAGCATCATGTAAGCCCCGACGGTTCTCCACATCCGTGCAGAGATTGTGTTTGTTCTCGTAACGGATCAAGACCACATCACCCCGTACGGCTTCGCCTCCGCGTCGCGGTCGGGCTTTGGCCTTGGGTCGTCGTTCCGAGGATGCAACACTCACATGGTCTGTGGTGTCAACGTCCATTGGCTCATCTTGTTGTGGAGGTATTCGACGTGGATATCGAAGAAGGCTTTCCTTGATGATCTGGATGCTCCGAAGTATCAGATCCCGGGTCGCAGCATTTTCCGTGCAATTGGACAGATGGTGTTGATCACTGCCACAAGCGATACAGAACGTGAGGCTATTGCTTCCGACCGACATTTCGCCCTGAGCAAGTATTCCCACATAGTCCTGAAGCTGCGCGACAAATCCTTCACGAATCATCTGCCTGGGATCAGGGTCTTCTGCACCTTGTTCTTCTTCGGGTTGTGCATCCACATCTACATCCTGTGCAGGTATTGGTGGAGCAACAGAGACCCCTGGATCGTCCGTGACGTTGTCAGCGGCCTGTGTCTCGTCGGTCCTTGCAATCTCTACGGGGTAGATATCGCCATCGACGATCACTGTGAAGTCAATCACGAGGTCAGCGGACATGTTGTTGACGATCTCAGCGACTTGTTCATTCTTCTTGGGCGGTGTCCTCTTGCGTGGGGAGTCAACCGTGATCAGCTCGATAGCTTCGGCCGACGCGTAGCGGAAGAATGATCTTTCGATCCCCCTCACGCACGCATTTGCCCCCTCAAGGCCACCCCAATTTGGAAAATGACTTGGGTGTCTCATTGCAATTGTAAGAAGCCCGAGTGCCAGCTCCATCGTGTCACCCAGGAGTTCCTCCTTGGGCAAGGCTGACCCTCTGTAGCATTCTTGGCGCTCCTCCGGAGTCAAAAGCATTCTCATGAAACCAGCATAAGCGCAGTTCCCGGCATCGTAGTAGCAGATGTAGCATGTCTTGCCTTCGGAATCGTATCCTCTGTCCCATGCCAACTGTTTGGCCTTTCCCCATGCCGCGTACTCGATGGCCTGACTGGCTGTGATTCGGAGACCACCGTAGTGAGAAACCGTCTTGCCAATGTCTTCGTAGACCACTTCCGCACAAGCTTTGAGGAA